ACTTTTAGACTATTCTCTCCCCCATAGACTTCAATGCCGTAAACATATTTCATCCAGTTTTTCTCAGTCTTACCCCCACCCCAATGCCAGCCTAAAATAAAAATTTTATATAGAAAAAAGAAATGCTTGCTGAGAGAATGAATGAATGAAGCACATGAGAAATTGCCCAGAATAGAAACATTAAAGTCTACATTGCAACAAATGGATTGTTGTTGTTGTTATGTGCCATCGAGTCGCTTGCAACTCAGAGTGACCCTATGTACAACAGCCCTGAACTCTGCTCTGTCCTGTGCCAATCACACCGTCTCTGACAACACCCATCCCGATCACCCCAGTCACTGAATCAATCCATCTCATAGAGGGTCTTCCCCTCCTGCACCGTCCCTCCACCCTCCCAAGTATGATGTCCCTCTCCAAGGACCTGTCCATCCTTACAACATGTCCAAAGTATGTCAGACAAAGCCCCAGAATCCTTGTCTCCAAGGAGCAGCCCGGTTTAACCCTCTCCAGGATGAATCTGTTTGTTTTCTTGGCCAGCCATAGTACATTCAACACTCTTCTCCAGGACCACAGCTCAAAGGCATCAATTCTCCTTCTATCCTCCCTAGTCATTGTACAACTCTCTGATGCACAACAAGTGAATGCAAAGACCATGGCCTGTATCAGATGCACCTTAGTCTCCAGAGTGACACCATTGCTCTTCAGTACTTTGGAGAGGTCCTTAACAGCCGACTTTCCCATCAACAAATGAATAAATAGAACAAAAAAACCCCCAAAACAACCCCTATGGTATATTCACACAATTCAACACTACACAGCACTGAAAAACAAGGATCTCATAAAATATTATACAAAATGGGCGACCCTGGAGGACATTATGCTGAATGAAATATCTCAGCATAAAAAGACAAATACTGCATAATGCCACTGTTACAAAACAGGACTCATATGAGTGTTGGGGAAAACTAAGAGTGAATAAATAGTGAACACTTCATTGGAACAGATGAGGGAAAGAACTGTTGAATAGGAATATATGATTAGGCATTATTTGTAAGACAGCAGTCCAGAATAAGAGATCATAGCAACGTGGACTGGGGGATACATGGGGGTGTGATATAGGGAGGAAATTTTAAAAGGGAAATGTTAAAAGGGTATGGAGGAAAATGTGCAACAATGAATGGATGAAAATCCAACTTTCCTGTGTACTTTCATTAAAATCACAATTTAAAATATTGAGGGGAAAAATATTCCACATTGTATGGTATAGAATGCATTTTTGTGTGGGCATATAAAACAGGGTTTGACTGGAACATGACAGGAGAAAGCAAAACCTTAAATGCTTTTTTTCACCTTTCCATCTTTCTTTTCTCAGTATTCATCTTTCTTGTAATGTCTTCATGGGTTCCTAGGAGATGCAGGCCCTAATGTGGCATTGTCTCTATACTTCAGAACCAATCTCTCATCCCCCCAACCAAATCTCCCCTCGACCCATAAAATCTTATTTTAGGAACTTATTTTACCTAATATATTTATGATTTCGTATGGCTGCACATAAACGATCATTTAGGGCTGTTCGTAACTTAATCCAAGAGAAATAGTGCGTGGCCACTGTTCTTCAGATGCCACCACGTATATTACTTGACTGAAGCATGCTTGCGTGAGACACTCTTCTGCTAAGGTCAAACATCTGGCACTAGGAGTCAAGGCCTAAACGATATATATTAAAAATGCCTCTGTGGACATACTCACTGGAATCCCATTGGTACCAAGAAAGCCAGGAACTCCCATGGGACCCTAAAGAAAGGGGTAGGGAAAGAATGTAATAGACAATGCAATCCCATTGATCTCTTTTAGATTCTGTGGGTTTGTTTCTGTGATTCAATTACCTAAGCTGTTTAGAAATCTTTTGCACTCCCTCCCTCATTGTGCTATGTGGTTCCCTAGTCGACTTCCAAGCAATAATTTGCCTTAAACTAGGGTCTTGGGTATATCCGTGTTCTGAGACCAATCCTTCACTTAGGGAACATAAAGAGCTGTTAAACTTACCCAGTCAGCCACCACAATATTACCCATTTCCTTTCCTGTAGCTCTTTCCTGGTATTTATGGTTCAGATTGCTTCTAAGTATTCTGATGCCACATTTCCCAGTCTCCTTGCTTGGATTTTTAATCTCTACTGCATAGGGTTGCTATGAGTCATTGTCAGTTTGACAGCATCTAACAATAGCAACTGTCCAGCTAATAGGGCTTCTGAGCTATGATGCCTAGCTTAAACCAACATGACTTCTTGCCACAGTGAGCTCACTTGTTTAATCAGTAGCATGTGTCTCATGCATCAAAGAAAAATTAAGCTTTGACATTCTTACTTTATCTCCTTTTGGTCCATATGGTCCCAATGAACCTGGGGAGCCCCTTTCTCCTTTCAATCCTGATAAACCACCAGGGCCAGCAAATCCTTGAGGACCTGGTGGTCCTTGAATTCCAATAGGTCCAGGTTGTCCCTAAAATGGACAAAAAGAGTACAGTTAGTCAATAGTTGTTTTCACATCCCCATTTCCCATTTTCCCATGCGCTAAGAACACTGTCATCACTTCACCAAATAATCTTGGCTTAGAGATCTCTGAGGCATGCCAAAGTTCCAGACACAGATCAGAAAAAAAGGCTATTTTAGGGGCTGCTAAGCTTATTTGGATAGAACACATTTTATAAGCACATTTAATAAGGTTCATGTGCACTGAGATCCTTCAACTTTGTACTTCTTAGGAGATTAGTTATTCAGGGTGGATGATGTTGTCCTCTTCCTAGTTAGTGCCAGGCCATCCATCAGATTGTCAAAATAGTGAATGACTAGAACATTGGAGAGCATCATGACATTTTATAACTTGTGCCCAAATGGCCAACCACACGCCTGCAGTGAAGCCCAGAAAAGGCTATGCAAAAGAATGCTGCCCTTCAGGTTAGAGACGGGAGAACCTAGAAACCCAGGAGCTGACTCTTGGGTAGGCTACATGTATACACTTGGGAACAGATATTCACAGGGTACACAGTTGTGCTGCACAAGCAGCTGAACACACACACACACACACAGAAAGAGAGAGAGAGAGAGAGAGAGAGAGAGAGAGAGAGATTGCTTATTTGCTCTCCTTTTCTCTACCCTCTGTACAGTTTGAATGTGTAAAATACAATAAGCCTGCGAGTATCCATTAAGTATCAATCATGATAGCAAGAGGGAGCAAGCTGAGATTTTGAATACCCTGGTTATGAAGTGTCAGGTAACAATTAAGTCTGAGAGTTCAGGCTGACATTTTAAAGCTGGCTGAGACAGAGAATTAACCCTAGTGGGTGCAACAGAGGTGGACTAGTCTATCATTTAGAAGAAATCCCTGTAGGGACTGAAATTTCCTTGGCAGAAAAAGGAAAACCATTAGTATTGTGCATTACCCCTTAGAGACCACAACACTATCTCAGGTAGAAAGCCTATTTTCATAAATGCCTCCCATCTCTTCTCAGCCCCTTTTCTGGCTATCCCTAGTCCCCCACAGATCTTTGAAAAACTGAAGAGAGCCCATTAAATATGCCCTTTAATAGTAATTCAACTGCAAGGTTTATTTTTTTAAAAGGCCAAAAGCAGGACAGATGCTTTATGCTCTTTAGGTGGTAACTAGCGTCACATAGCAGAGAGGCAACATGCTGTGCTGGTCCTTTGGAATACCATTTTCAAGTGGCAGTTACGCCCCTGAAGATCTCAGATTCTTGCAAAAATAAATAAAATAAAATAAATTCTCTCCACTCACCTTCCTCCAAGCACCAGCCTTCTTCCTACAGATTTCAGACTAAAAACAGTTTAACAATGCTGGTAGCCTAGTGGGTGGAAAGTGTGCTAGCTCAGGGCCTGTTGTTAGGGCATGTGGCCATAGACTGCCAAGGGAAGAAGCAGGTCTGTCCTGGAGAGGGTAAAACCAAACTTCCCCTTAGAGGCAAGCATTTTGAATCTCTGTATCACATACTTTGGACATGTTGCTAGGAGGCAGGAGTCCTTAGAGAAGGACACCATGCTTGGAAGGGTGGAGGGACAGCACAAGAGAAGAAGAGCCCAGATGAGATGGATTGACACAGTGACTGGTGTAATGAGTAAGGGTATATGTGTCTGAAGCAGTGAGATTGGCTCAGGATAGAACAGGGTACAAGCAGGGTTCAGAGCAGGATTCAGTGCATAGTGTTACTATGATGGCACATAACAACAACAAGGGTATATTGCTAGGAGAGGTTATTCACTGGAGACGGACATCATGCTAGGAGAGATGGAGAAATGGCAAAAGAGAGGAAGACCCTCAACCAGCTGGATTGACACAGTGACTACAACAATGGGCTCAAGTGTCTCAGAGATTTTGAACATGACATAGGATAAGACAGGGTTCTGGTCTGTTGTTTATAGAGTTAATATGAGTCATACTCAACTCTATGGCACCCAACAACAACCACCCAGTATAAGATGCTACACTACAATCCCAAAGGTATGAGGTTCAAATCCAGCTGCTCCATAGGAAAAGGATGAGCAATCTCCTCCTGTGTGATTTATTGCCTCTGAAAACCCACTGGAGGGATCGCTATGTGTTGGTTCTGACTCGATGGTAGTCAACATTCTGCCAGCAGCCCAAAAGCAGAAAGATGGGCCATTTCCTCTCATGTGATTTACAGCTTCAGAAAACCCAACAAGAGTTAGCTATGAGTCAGTTCCAACTTGATAGCAATGAGTTGAGTGATAATCCATTTATCTTAAAAACTTCAAGTTAGAGTTTTTACATCTGGGAAGTAGAAATGATAAAAGTGAAGAGTGAACTTTTATTTTTGATACTATTACTGCCCATGTGGTTTACAATGGTTTGCTACAGTTCTTGTCATTTTTTAAAAAATTCTTATAAACTAGAACCACCACTTAAAGAGATACATGCACACCCATATTTATTGCTGCATTATTCACAATAGCAAAGAAATGAAAGCAAACCAAGTGCAGATAAAAAAAAATAAATGAATAGAAAGACTATGATGTACTCACACAATGGAATACTATGCAGCACTGAAAAACAAGGAACTCATAAAATGTACAACATGGGTGACCCTGGAGGGCATTATGCTGAGTGAAATATCTCAGTCACAAAAGGACAAATACTGTATAGTGCCACTGTTACAAAACGGGACTCACATGGAGGTTGGGGGAAAATAGGTAAAGAATGGATCAGGAACATTGCATTGGAATGGATGAGGGAAAGAACTGTTTAATAGAAATATATGATTAGGCTTTATTTGAATAACAAAAGTCCAGAATAAGAGCTGTATAGCAAAGTGGACTGGGGGAAGTAGAGGGAGGAAAATGTGCAACAGTGAATGAATGAAAAGCTAACTTTTCTATAAACTTTTGCTAAAATCACAATAAAAAGAAAGAAATCCTTTATTCTTTTTTTACATTTTATTGGCTTTCATTCACACATTTATACAGATTTCTCTCATACATGTCCTGTATGAACTTGTTAGTTGCATTACTCATAATATATTTTTAAAATGATATTTTTTCTTTATTTTTATTGTATTATTTTTTACGTGTACCATCAAATCAGACCTGACTGGTACAGGAGGAGATTGCCCCCTGCTTCTCCAGCAGAGCATCTGGTGGATTTGAATCGCGCACCTCTGGGATTGCAGTGCAGTGTCTTGCCACTAGGCCACCAGAGCCCCCTTCATAATATATTTTTTAAGGTAAAAAAGTAAAGATAGATTTATAAGAAAGTTACATTTCCAAAGGGATGACTCTCTCCTTGAAAGGAAATATGGATGAGAGGCCTTGTGCTAGGGAGATGAGGCCCTATTTATGGACTCCTTCTATGGATAGGCCTCAGGGCTGGAGTCTGGGCCAATGAGATGATGCTATGGAGAGTTCAACGTTTAGAGGGTGTTTCTCACTCTGGTCCCTGTTCTCTGAAGTCATTCATGTGCGCACATTGTCCACTGCTTCTGACATCACTCATGAGCCCAAGCACTAATTCAATGTATATCAATATTGGCTTCCTGGCTCTGATATCTTATTGACCCTCCTCTTCAGAATTACCTTTCCTCTATCTGTTTTAATGCCAAACTCACGCTCCTTATCTGTCCATTCTCTTCCTGTTCTCTTCGTCTCCCTCTACTTATATTACCATTAAAACAAAATTTTTACAATAATTGAGTGGAAAAGTGAAAGAAGGTAGCTTTTCAGTAAACAGTGCTGCCATGCTGGCATGAGTTTGTGAAGATGTCTAAACTGTGGACCTTCCTTTGGAGACTAATGTACACAAAACGACAACAACCAGTCCAAGTCCGTAACAGACTGTACGTGTTCCAGGAACACACAGAAAAGGTTAACCACAGAGGGTTTGTGGAATGCTTACTTTCTGTTTATGGCTTAGAGGGCAGGTGGGGAGTCGTAGGCCCAACTGGAGATGCTGAATGGACCCCACTGAAGTGGGCCTGGGAAGCAAGTTAGGAATGTGGAAGACTTGATATGGTAGGAAACGATGAACCCATGAAGTTTGGGAACAGAGGACAAATGCAAGGAAAACAGTGTTTCAGGGCTGAAACTTTTCAATTAGCACGCATTCAGTGGAACATGTGTGTGACAGCATGAGGCAAGGGCTGCCTGCCTGAGGCTGAAACAAGGGAAGCAGATAAGAACCAGCTGTTGGGGAAGGAGGGGACCTGCTTGGTGGGAGGATGGAGGGCGTGGGCATGGGGGGAGGTTTACTGAGGCCATGTTATTATTAAAAGAGAAGGTATTGAATTCAGTTAGGGTATTGAGTTTTGACCCAAGTCTAGGCCTTGCCAAAAGCTTTCCCACATCAAGGGAGGGGAGGGGAGAGCACGAGAAACCATTTAACAGCTACTGCGAGAGTGAACTGTTGTGTGGTCCTGTCCCCATCCTGCTCACCACAGGAGAAGAGTGTCTGTAGTGTCCAGGGTGGAGATAGGGGCTGGCACACTCCACCTCTGGGAGTGTATGCTGAGCGAGGATAAGTGAGGAGACTTAGCTGTGAGGCAGTTCCAAGGCTGGACTTAACAGGAAACCTGATGACATCCAGAAAAGGCAGGATTCCATGGCCAGCTTCCTTTCTATTGGTTTGGAATAGTGATGGGTGGGGGGGCGGGGTGGTGCTGACATGTTGAATTTGCCACCTGGACAGTCGCACAGCCGACTAAGATTAAAGTGGGTCTCTTAAGGATTTGGGAACGGGGAAGGGGGTGGGCAATCACTAGGATAGTGGAAGTTAGTGGGAGGATTGGGGGGGAGGGTGAAGGAATAGGAAAGCTGCAATGGGTACTTGAAGAGACCAGGTGATAATAGCCCACAATGTATATAAATGAAACACAACGTCTATTAATGGTTGTACGCAAACCATTAAAAAGTTGGGAATTTTTTTTTAAGCTCCATTTTCTTTTTCTCCAAGGGCCATTTGAAAGAGTGGGTGACCCTCACAGGAATACACACTTCTAGGCTGGCCACAGGTGTTTTGACTTGATAGGCATGTCAGCAGTCTGGCTAGGAACTTCTGTGATTGTCCTAAAGACAAGAAGCAGGACCTGTGAGATGTCCCAATGCCTGTGAGGCACTGCTGGCTCAGAGCTGCCTCCTCAGCATAGGCTGCAGGCCTCTTGACAGCCTGAAGTCAAAGGATAATTGTTGTGTCTGAGCTCTCAAAGACTGTAAATAGCATAGGAGGAGATTACTCATCTTTCTCCTGTGGAGCAGCTAGTGGATTTGAACCGCTTGCCTTTGGATTGGCAGCACAACTTCCTTATCCACTAGGACACCAGAGAACTACAGAAATCCTTTCATACAGTGGCACAGAGCACCATTAATAAACGAAAATGGCAAAAGAAAACAATGAGAGAGCCATTCTTGTAGCAACACTTTTCATAATAGCCAGCCGAGGCCTCTAAGTGAAGAGTAAACAGATTTTCTTTCTTATTTCCCCGTGCATAAAGTTTCTGTATCAGTGTCCACTGGATTGTTTAAGCTTGATACTAAATAAGGAAGACCTGCTGCTTGTTTTTGAAGTTTTTTTCCCCTAAGAAGTTCTTGGCGACATTTTTCAGAATGGCCAGCAGAGGTCAGTGTGAGAACATAGAGGCTACAGACAAGCAGGTGGCTGGGTGGGCCTCTCTCACCACTGACAAAAAGAAATCACACCAGTGTCAGAGAAGCCACAGAAAGTATGAGCAGGAAGGGCTTTTTACATAGCATCTCATCCCGGCTTTATTTCATAAAAGGAGGCAAAGAGAAGGCTGAGAGAAGGGGACATAGTTGGTTAGGTCACACAGCTAACAGGAAATGGTGTGAGGTTTACACCTGGCAGTCGGCTACCAGTGCCTGGATGTTACCATGCTTGCCAATGGCAGATGTCATAGGGGTCCTGGAGGCAGCTCCTCCCACCCTGGGTCCACCTCTGGGACTAACGCCATCAGCAGGCTATAGTAGCCAGATGCTCACGCATCATTTCTCTCTCCTTAACCTGAACCAATCTGAAACACTATCACTGTTTGGATGGCTAGTAGAATTTCTATGGGCTTGGACCAATGCCCTGCCTTGATACATGTCGTTTATTTTGGCAAATAGACCCAGACAGGGCAGAAGGGACTCCTCCAAGTCTTTCCAACAAGCTATCCTGCCTCCATCTGCTCAAGATTTTAAAAATGCACATCAGGATTGCATTCTTAAGGGAATGAGCTGAGACTTGTGCTTTAAGGTCAAGAACTGCAGGTTCAAAATTACAGCTTTCTGTTTGACTATGGTGAGTTGGTGTAGGCATGTAGTTTAAGGTCACCTTTAATAAGACCACACTGACAGCCGCAACCCCAAATACAGATGATCGATGTAGTATGTATGTCTTATATATAAAAGAGGCATCTAAAAATCTTAAAAGCCCAGACATCAGATTAGTTAGGAATATGAAATTAGGAGAAGGGCTGACTCCCTTTCTGCCTTTTCATACATTCTTCAAGGTTCCAATGTCCTTCTCCCATAAAATTAAAACCTGTTTGTTCTGAAGAAAGAATCTGAAACTCATTCTCACTGAGGCATCAATGCCTGTTAACAACATCTTAGAGCATTACTTCTCTCAAGGGGATTTGTATTTAAACAAGAGGGATGGAAAATATATGTATGAAGCAAGGAAAGGAAAGGGTGCATATAGAGCCTTCCTCAGGATTTAGTTATATCCTGGGAGGTGGTGCTGTTGGTGATATCAGGATCTGAAGTCAGACTGACCTGGAGGCAAATTTTGTCGCTAACATTTAATAGTTTTGTGAGGTTGGGTAAGTGTCTGAATCATCACAGATTTACTGGGGACAATAGCAGTTCTTGTATAGGATTACTGTGAGCATTTAAATGAGTTTATGAACGTAAAACACTGCCCACATTAGCCCATCAATCTAAAAAGCACCTTGCTATCCAGTCAGGACTGACTCATCGTTGACCCTCCAGTGAGTTTTTGAGGCTGTAATTCGCACAAGAGGAGATTTCTCATTTCTCATCTTTTCCCCAATTCAGAGATGCTGATGGATTCAACCTTCCAAAATTTGAACTGCAATTCTCGCTGGTCCACCCCACCATAGGATCAATTTGGCCTCGAAATAAATCTCAAATCTGTCTACTACACCCAGGGTCATTGTCACCTCACTAGAGTGCTACCACAGCTTCCTAACTGGCCTGCCATCCTCCAATCTTGCTTTACTTTCTCTTAGCATCCTGCCTAGGCCCTTTGTGAATTCTATGTTCATCCTATTCCCTTGGCTAGTACCTAAACATCCTCTAGGCCCCAACAAGATCTCAACTTCTCCAGGGAGTCTTCTGGCGTTACCATTTACCCCATGTTATTGTTGTGTGCTTGAGTCAGAACTGAACCTCTAGTGGGTTTTCAGAAGCAATACATTGCATGGGAGGAGATTGCCCATCCTTCTCCTGCAGAGCAGCTGGTGGATTTGAACCATATGCCTTTGGTATTGCAGTGCAGCTTCTTACTACTAGGCCACCAGAGTTCATTATTTACTGCATAGTGTGGGCTAAGTTGTCTGCCAGCATGTAAATATCCCTCAACAGACTGAGGTTCTTACGGCCAGGGACGGTGTTCCTACTGGATCATCTTTGCTAAGTACAGTGCCTGGTATACAGTGAGAATTTAGCAGTTAATTGTGTGGCAGAGGTATGGTGATATCTTCATTGGAAGTCTAGTTGGCTGCACCAGAGTGCATTTACAAAACCCATCTGATACGAAAAGAATGCAGAGTCAATGAACTCTGTGAAAGATCAATCTTCTTACTAAATGCAACCAAGAACCGTCCAATCAAAAATAGAACATAGCGTCAAGAAACACTGACAAAGGAAGATCAACCTAGGTAGAATTGCTGAAAGGATAATATAACTATTGCAACTAGCAAATTTGAATAGGATATGTATAGCTGTTCACAAGGGGAGGGGAAAGAGGAGAAGGGAGTGGAAGACGGAGGAGGGGAAAAACACTAGGGCAGCAGTGATTAGTGGATAGATGGGGAGTGATGAAAGAATAGGCAAGGTGCAATGAATGAGGACTTGAGATGGGGAGATAAAAGGCTTTGATCAATAGGAATCAATGCTTTAAAATACAATGTATATGAAAGTGTACAAAAACAAATTTGAAAAGAGCCACCTGATGACAGGATCAGAGAAAAGAAACAAGACATTGGGAATCCTCCACTTCACAGTGGGGAAACCAAAGCTCAGAAAGGGAAAGAAACCTAAATTTGATATCAACTCTAGCTACCATATTTTTAAAGCACGGTACCATGACACTTTTCAAAGCCTTTAAAGACAGAAATAGTGTTCACATGACATAGTTTTTTGACATTTTCTGTTTCCTAAGATCTGAGTAAAATGGCTTTGAGAATCCTGATTGAGAACTATTCATGAACAACTATTTCTTGAGCCTCTACTCTGTGCTAGGTCTGGGATGAGATGGAACTTATAGTCTTATTGACCCTTCAGGGAACGAATGATGCATCGGTAATTACCAGCCTAATTTGACATTTAAAAAAATCTTTTGCTTAGTTTGGGGCTCGGCAGGTATGCAAACGTGTGTGGTGGAGAGGGTCATGTGAGGGAAAAACCATATTGCATGATCTTTGCTCTCAAGGAGCATTTAAGCTTGTGGAAGATAAGGCCACATCATAAGAAGCAATCAGAGATAAGGCCATAGGCAATTATTTTTAAAAATAATTGTATTTGTGCACCATAAACCAAAACCAGAACCCACTGTTGTTAAATCTGTTTTTGAGTTGGAGTTACCCTGTAAGACACAGTAGAGCTACCCCGTAGAGCTTTCAAGGCTGTAAAACTTTATAGAAGCAGACAGGCACCTCTTCTGCAGAACAGCTAGAGTCCAAATCACCAATCCTTTGGTTAGCAATTAAGTGCTTAACCACTGTGCCACCAGGGTACGTTGTATAATTAATGCAAGAGGAATTTAGGAACATGTAAGCTTACAAAGAGGTAGGGGAGTAAGAAAAGGGCCCTTGGAGTTTTAGGGGATGTATTCCAAACATGGGGACCAACTTGTTGGTAGGAATGAGCAAACTATGTAAACAGCAGCCAGTCAGCAGCAGCTGGGTCTGGCTGGAGTGGAGGGAAAAAGCTCAGGTAAAGGATGGAAGAAAGCAAGTGAGGCTAGCAGATGAAAGCTTCTTAGATGCTGAGAGGAACACTCGAGATTCAAACCTTAAATGTTTGTTTGAAACTTTAGTTCGACTACCAGTTTAATCCAGAATTTAGTCAGTTTGCCTCCTATAGCAGCTGTGTATTCAGGATCAGGGTCAAAAAGTTCTGTATTAAAATCTTCACTTAAGGACACCAGAATTTTAAGGGCAAATGCCAGCCTCAATCTCCTTACCAAATGAGAGTGATAGTACCTACTTCACAGGGTGATTATGACGATTGCATGGACTAATTAATGCAAACAGAAATCCTCACTCTTTTGTGGGCATCCTGAATTTCCTGGAGGTGATGTTGAAACACATATAACTGGTCTTACCTCCCGAGTTTCAGACTGAGTAAGTCAAAGATAGACAGCCCAAGAAAGGGAGCTCTAGTGGCTTAATGGTAAGAAGGTGGGCTATAAATCCCAAAAAACTGGATAAATTCTGTATACTGCACTGAAACAGATGAGGGACTGAATAATTTAAAAGTGATATGTGATAGGGTATTATGGTTATCACAAGAGTCCACAATTAAGGTTGCATAGTGGAATGTGCTTGGGGCAGTGGGAGGGGTGCAGGGGGGATCGTGTACCAGGGAAGGTGTGTTTCTTTTACTTTAGAAAGAGAGGAGCGAACTTGGGGTGGGGGAAGGCTGGGGGAGAGAGAAGTGCAGCAATGAATGAATGGAAATCCAAAATCTCTGTAAATGCTCATTAAAATTATTTTTTTAAAAAAATCCCAAGGCAGTGGTTCCAATCCACCAGCTGCTCCATGGGAGAAGGATAGCAATCTCCTTCCAAGTGATCTACTGTCCCTGAAAACTCACTGGAGGATCTGCTGTGGGTCAGTTATGATTTAACAGCACACAGAACTAGCAAAGACAGATAGATAGTCTGCATGGAGTTGCACTGATAACCCAAAGGCAGTGCCTTTCTGGTGATTTAAATCCACCAGCTGCTCTACTGGAGAAAGATGGGCAATCTCCTTCCATATGGTGTGTCCTCATGTTGGAACTGACTCATAGCTGACCCTGCAGCGGGTTTGCAGAGACTGTAAATTGCACAGAAGGAGATTGCTCATCTTTCTCCTGGAGCAGCTGGTGGATTTGAAATGTCTATCTTTGCATTGGCTGAACAACTCTTTCTCATGAGGCCACCAGATCTCCCTCCCTATACAGCATCTGCAAACCTAGTGGAGGTTCAGCTGTGACTCAATTTCAACTTGACAACCATGAGTGAGAAAGGGTCAAAGAATATATGTTTCTAACAGGTTCCCGGATAATGCTGAGGCTTTAAGTTCTAGGCTCACACTTTGGAGAGTTGCTGTGGTAAATCATTTAGCCCAGTGACTAGTACATAGCAAATGTGTCATAGAAGTTGTTATTACTGGCACTGTTACATAGCAAATGGCTGGGGCTTGTTCAGGTTTGGGGTTCACAGTTTGAGAAAGATCTTTGGCATTCCTTTCTCACTGTGGCAATGTTGGTATCATTCAGGAATATCTCCTTGAAGTCTTTTGGGAAGAGGAAGCAAAGGTACCTGACCTCTGGCTGAGGGATTAGGTGGCTTGGATTTTACAATTCCTCATGGTTTTATCACTAGAATTCTCAACTCAGCTATGGAGGAAGAATGTAAAAATTTAACATTCTTTTGCCTAATAAAATGAGGTCTCTCTCACGGT